AAGCAGCGCGATGCGCTCAACTGGAGGGCCAATGGTGCATTATATATATATATATACTTATATGCATCGCTCACATAAGGGCTGATCCATTTTCTGGGCACTGCGTTGCAACAGGGTGTGCTGAACGGGTTTGGAGTTTGGAGAGTTGAATAATGCCTAATTTGAGGCTATTTGGATCCATTGATGTAGTGTTTTCCGTTTGGTTAATCAACAATTGCACGACAGCAACGGTCGTGTGGGAAGGCAGTATCTCTAGATGCTTTGTATAGGAGATGATAGTTCTACGTTGGCCTCCCAAAGAAAAAGCATACAATTTTCAACCAAGATCACATCGATCAAGGAACATCATCCTTTTTTTTTGTGTGACTGTTATTTTCCAAATGGAGCGAATTCCCCTGGCGTAGGGTCATGTTCTTCATGTTTTTGCCGCTTCCTGAAGCATATCCAAGTCATTTTGTCCGACCCTCCTTCAGTTTGGTCAGGGTTTCTGCAGATTGAGGTACTACAATGGGGTGCAGTTGTGCAGAGCTCCTTTCCTTGTTTGTTTATTTTAAGCGTGCGGAAGATGCTTTGTACCTATAACTTATCATTCCTCTATTTAGGTTTGTTCAATGTTCCACTGGTACTGCTGGTACTGACTATCCATGACATCCACCACTTCTTAGAAGTTTGTATGTAGTCACACCGGATGATACCAGGATATGCCAAGTACCATTTGTGAAGCGCTAGTTGGCAGTAAAAACTATTGTCAAAATGTAATCTCATCGTTTTCATATATTGTTGCGAGCACCTCGCACTATTCTAGATACTTTATGTGCTGCTTGCACGGTTGCAGTAGTCACACCTAGGGGTTACACACGACCCAGCCTCGCAAGCTCTCCAGCCATAGTGTTTGCACGAAGCATGCTTGTTGTATCTTTCGAAACACGTGTGCAGACGCCTAAAAGCAGCCAACCTTTGGCAAAGGGGAGGGGCCATGCAAATGTTTTGAGGGCTTCTGTTTTGATTGGGGTAGTGAATGCAGCAGATAGGCAGTTGGGCTGCTTATCGCTTGTAAGTACTTCAGCCAGGCCAATGCTCAAGAAGCAATTCGATGAGGATGTCAAGACGGTCTTCAATGCCTACAAGTCTCAAGGTTCTGTCGATGACTTCCGGGACCTTGTAAATGAGAGCCTTGGAGGGCACTTCGATCTATTTCAAAAGCTTCGAAGAGCATGTGGATTGCCATGTAGAAAAAGACATCAGCTTATAATACCTCCTACGGTAGGTCTCCCCAGTAGCTCTTCAAGGGCCTCCAGTGGTTAGACCGACCAGTTCACCTTGGAACTCGAGCGCGCAGGACGCAGCGATCTCATCCACATCCACACCAAGTACAGTGGTTTCAGAGTAGATGGCACTGGCACCCGAAGATGTCTATGTAAACCATGGCACCTCTTGGGGGTTTGTGCCATCTACTCTCACTCAACTATAAATGTAGCAGGGCATCCAAATGTAGCCGCGAGGGATAGAAAGAAGCACCCAAAACACGTGTCCAGCAGGGCAGGGAGGATTTGCGGGATTTGGCCTCCGCGGTTGCCAAGAGGCTCTGTGTTGTTTAGGTCCAAAAGCTTCAAACACAAAAAAGCATAAATTGTTTTTGTTGTGGAAAGACTCTGTTAGGTAGGTTTTTAAAAACCTAGTGCTCCTGTCCTACCTCCATTTCGGTGAAGGTGGTTGGGATGGGTGCCAGGACTCAGGATGGTCTTCGGACCACCGAACCTTTTCGGAAATGGACGGCCCAAGGTCGGCGAAGCGTGGCCTTGACCGTCCTTGGGATTCAACAGTGACCGTCCTCCAAATCCCGGTGTGATGGGACCCCTCTCCTAAAGAAGTCACGAAAAACTTCGGGTCCTGGAAGGCCAAAGTGGTGCTTTGCGGGGACAAAACCTGACATGAAGGAAGGGCACCGTGTGCGCTCCGCCGCGGAGCGGCTGAGGAACTTGGAGGACTTGAATCAGCGCATTGAAAGCGAAGGGCCGGAGCATTTGAATCTCGGCTTGGAAGTTGACCAGCAAAGCCTCCATCAGATACAACTCATTGGACTGGCAGATATGTGTTTTTCTTTTTTTTCCGATCAGTTTGGGGTGGTTGAAAAGGGGTCAATACATGCCATGGAGTGTTTGGGGTGTTGTTTGTTGTAGGGGGAATGTGTGTTTAGTCAACTCCTTTCAATTGTGAAGTCTCTGATATTTGCTAGACAACCCCCTATTCATCCTTATGATGATAAATGATATCCAATCCATTCGACAAGCTTGGTACTCGCTGGAGAGACTGTTGAGCACGGTGAAGGAGGGACGACAGGATCTCGTTCAGTCACTAATCTATCAAAACCTTGAAAAGCATCTAATCCAATCCATCAAAACCTTGGATTGGTATGGCGACCCAAGTCCAAGTCACTAATCCAATCGATTTGGAGCTTGGGTCGCCATACCAATCCACCGCGACACCAGATCCCCAAACCGCTTCGCCGGTGTACTGAACACCCGGTGCTGCGATGTCCGGTGCGATGTCCGTGGAAGCGACGAGTTCGTGATGAGTTCGCACCGGAGTGATGTCTCTTCCCCTGGTGAACTTGTTGCTTTTTTGAGGTGATGGGGTCGTTTTTTTCCGCCCCCCCCCGGGTGAATCCCCTTTTTCGTGCGGAAGAGGTTGACTTTTGCCCGGGTTCCTGGGAGCTGCTAATCCGGGACTGCTGAGGGAGAAGCTTTTGAGCCATCTGAAGCACTATTCGAAGCAGCTCGGATTGAGGATGAGGTTTAGCTGATTTTCTTCGCAACATGGGAGGAGTGGACGCTGGGCAAGTGTTCTGGGAAATCGGTGCCGAGTGTGTAGCAACAATAAACATCAGCTTCATTTTTGCTGGACCCTAGTTTCCTTGTGTTTAGCGTGATTGAAACCATTTTACAAGAAGTACTTCAGAATATATAGCATGATGTATCAACACACAATATAGTATATTATAGGAACCGCAAGTCCAACAATCTATGAACTACCATAGAGCACCTATCGTCAGCGTCATCATCATCGTCAGCGTCATCATCATCATCATCATCATCATCATCATCATCATCATCATCATC